ATTTACAAGTTACGTCAAATGTAAATGTTAATAGGCCATACACTTATAATATAATATATGAGTAAAGGTCAATTGTAATCCGTATTGTAACTAATTGATAAGGAAATAGTATTCATTATTTGTTTTATGATATAATCCCCGGTTAAACGTACGTATTTTACAGCTAAGTGTTAATTGTCAGATTGTACTCGTATCTGTAATATATGTATCGACAGCGTTATTAGTACGTGTAGTAAAAGTCTTGTATTTTGTATCGTTGCAGGGTAAGATTTACCTACAATAAATCACTGGTTCAGTATATTCACCCCCAAATACCCATCGGTTTCAGTTGTATACCTCCTAATACCATATTTTGGATTTATCTTCATTAGTTTTCTTTAGCAAAATAAGTAAGGAAGTTTTCGGTATTTCTGACTTTTCACACGACTTTCATCAAAAAGATTTTAAATAACAACTAGATTGTCGGGGCAAAATATGATATCTTCTCCGATGAATAATAGTCATACATGCGTGGAAACTCATATAACAAGTCCTTAAAGACGGTGGAGACCACCAGGAAGACGACAAAAACATCCCCAACACAGACATTTTTGTCCGGTTTGTTATGTATTTCTTTACAATCGTTTTATCACAATTGCTTCATAACATTAAATTTCAAATATTATTTCAGTAAGTGATAATTTTTATATTATTTCAGTAAGTGATAATTTTTTTAACGTATCAATATGATGTATAATAAGCTTCGTGTCATTCAATGTGGCAGTATTATTCTGTTTCCCAGATAACCACACCAGTCTGCTATTGTACTGACAAAATATGTTAGCCTTATCTAACTAAAACCAGGATACAAAGACTATCACAAACTGATCACGTGACCCCCTTCGGTAGTTGTCGGTTGTATTGCAAACGCTTCGTGGGCGTGGTTGAAAGGGTATAATTGCGGCGATATTTTATGAATACTTTACCGTTGCCCTCAGAATTTTGTTTTAATGTATACTTCATAAGATCGATTCCTTTGTTTTAATCTAAATTCATATCAATGCTTTACCTCCTTAAATATTTTTCATTTAATCAAACTATAAGATGTATTTTGCATCACTGTTTGTCTTAGGTATGTTATATATCTTACTTTGATACCTAGAACATGAATTATTCGCTTCATTGCTAAATTCGAGGATAAAGGCTTCCGCGAAAAGCACCAACATAACACTGCCGCGAAAATTACCCGGTGTCTAAAAATATAAATATATTGCATTCTATATGAAACGCGATGTAATTGCTTCATAATGAATCTGACGCTGTAAAAGATTCACAAAACAGTTTATCAAGTGCTCATCATCAGTCGTAGTGATATGCATTATTTCTTACAGGGGCATTATAAAGCAATATATCAGTTGAAATGTAAACATGACCTTTACATGCACATATTTAAACACAATTTAAAGGAAACGAAAAGTATGCTACCCAAACCATAAGTGAGTAGAAACAAAACGATATGGTTAGTCAAGAGTAAACATTCAGTAATACAGGTCCCTTATATCTCATGAACATATTACAAAACAGTCGATTTCAAGAGTAGAAAATGGACAGATACTGTGTATGTGTATTTCATGCATATATTTTCTACTTAACTTTGACAGTTTTAAGGATAGATCCATAAAGCTATTATTAGAAAAGGTTCTTTCCAACGTACTAAAAATAAACGGGAAAAAAGGGTATTTCCGTAAAATTCTTAAAATAGGATATCATCAATATGTTTTGGCAATGTCAAAAAAACGAATAAGTGTTGCGTTTAAATTAATATAGTCAGTTTATAGACACGAAATATTATTCGGTATCAAAAATGACAATGTTCAGCGGTATAATATTGTACATAATTTCAACTGAAATTAGTAGATTAAACTCATCCCATCCCGTTTTACTCACTTTAATGTAACTTGAAACTATTAAATCAACATCAATGTGAAATTTACAACTTTGGATTATTGATTTAAGAAGAAACAAAACACTGAAAATACTTTACGTGTAAACACAGTCATGATACGGAGAGTCCTGTTTGTGTACTATAAATTTCGCTTGAAAACTATTCTTAAATTGCTTCTGGTAACGCAAACGGGTTTTTTAACATTATATTTCTTTAGCAAAATATTTTAATTGTTCACTTAAATTGGTATCCGGAATCAGGTAGAGATAACGTCAGACCAATGTAACTAAATAGAACGAACAAGTAAGATGTGTACACATAACAAGCGAACTGTTAGGCCCGTAATGGGGATAGACATGAGGAAATATGTGAGTCGTCCATATTGAAGAGATATTTAATTAGTATGTTCAACACATTCAAGGAATTGTTAGAATACAGGTAAAAGAGAAAAGTACCCTTTAAACCCTAATAATGTTACACATTTATATTTTGGGCTACCAAATATCATCTATATTTTACAAGTTTTGCATGTTTATTATGTAACCATACCTTGCTAATGTCCAGCTAGTCTGCGAAGGCCATCAGCGGGTTAATCGGTTTTGACGTGAATAAAGTAAACACAGTATCATACGTAATTCTTTTACGAGAAAATTGCTTTTTTCACATAATGTACTGTGTTATCCAGAGAATGAACCCATGTCAATTTTGTTCCCACATTAACCCATGAAATATGACCTATCAGCCCTGTGATTGGTTGCAAGTTTCAATTGTTTCCTTTGCGACGTCACGCCCAGGACAACTACATGTCAAATTTTGCGGCATTTTACATTCAAGGTTGCATGAAAATTGTCGTTTTACCCGAATAAATGCCACATATCTTGATTATGTGATAAAAGGAATCTGACACTCGTTTTCGTTTCCTATGAAAATAAAACTCGTCACGAGAAATTGCTCGTCAGGAATTTTTCATTTCGCTAAATTGAAAATTCTTAGACTTGTTTCATAAATCTCATATGAAATGGAAACTCATGTAAGATCTTATATACTTAAACAATAACTGGTTAATTACAAGTGGCCTCTGGCAAATCCCATAAAACCCGCTAGGGGTTTAAGGTAGATTTGCCAGAGGCCACTTGTAATTATATCAACAATAATTACATCCAGACAACCAGGTATTTTTTATATTTACATATTTTTCTTTTTTAAGACATATTCCTACAAAAACCATTTGCCCTGCCTCAAAATACATTTCAGGCGGCCATTTTGTTTGTTTACATATTCCTACACCTGAAACAGGCAGTTGTAATTATAGTCGAGCAGTTGTAATTATAGCCTGTATAATTACACTTGCCCTCTAACACTGTTGTAATAGGACGGCGCGGGGGCAAATGTAAATATATGTATCTAACATCGTTCTGCTCGGACATAGACATAATAAGTAAATGTATTTTTTGACGATTTACAGAAAAAGTAAAAATCACGTAATTATAGAAACCATAAAGTGACATATATATATGTAAGCTGGCATATATAGTTGCCATATACATGTACAAGTTTATCAGTTAACCTACAAATTATCCGTTGAAATACATTGTAGGCTTAGGTAGGATCTGTTTCACCTTGATAATGTATTTGAAAACTTAATATGTTAAAAAATAGTCTGGGAATTATGATGATTAATGATTTGTTTAAGCAGTCAAATATTAATCTATTTTACAATTATAATGAATTTGTGGAAATGAATAGGAATATATCAAATTTTGTACATTACAATAGAAAAATCAACAGCATTAGAAATATGAAAAACAATATATTGTAATAGGTAGCTCTCTATATTATACAACTTCATCTTCTCATCTGGAATTAATTATAAAACAAGAAAAGGGATCACAGGTTTTTATCAAGTCTTGGCTAAACATGACTGTAGCATAACAGGACAACAATACATAAAGGGCGTGATAAGTGATCAGTCCTCTTAAAAACGGTGAAATAATATATAAAAATAGATATGGCCAGATAAATACATCTAATAACACGAAGAATTGTTCGGCCGACTGCACAATAAAGCCTTTCAACAGACGTTATTGTTCACACACGTAGTCTCTATGCAGCAGGATACACCTGTGCGGGTTACATGTATGTACACAGGTTTTACATGAAAAGTATATCATGGTATGCCAACTGCGTATCATTGGTCAGTCGTGAGCTAATCTTAAATAAATCAACCAATGAAATGGCTTTCTCATATAGTCGCGACCTTCCAAGTGAAGGTTACGACAGGACGTTATATGTTGGTATTTCAAAGGCGGAGGATTTTTCTAATCATATTATTACGCGGATTTGTGTGAAACGGACATTTATTTACCCAAATTATGCATGGTAAGCGCAGGGTACATCGATCATGCTATCATTTAACATATCAGTTAACGTTATACACTGTTTGGAAATGTGGCTTTCGTGAATAAAGATATGTTGTTTGAGAAATCAAAATGGCGTCAGATCTTAATAACTTCATTATGTTTCGTAATTATCGTTGTATATTACACGTGACCTTGGCAGTGCATATACATGCATATACCCCCGACAAACTATAGCTCTCAATAATGCTGAAAGATCATATAAGACTCTCATTTTTCATTCCTGAAATGTGTGACTTCCGGATAAGCATATAAGACTCTCATTTTTCATCTCTTAAATGTGTTACTTCCGGATAATGCTTAGTCGGACCACTACATCTAACGGGGTCGAGCGAGATTTTTTAATGTTTCTTGACGAATTCTACATTTAAAGATGAGCCCATATGATGACATTGCCGTACCAACCTTTAAGATATTATTTTACGTTAGTATCCTTACTTATTTTATTGATTTGCGTACTCTATGTGGATTATCAAGCCTTTCAAACAATATAAAGCTAACAAATTTCTGAAAAGTCGCCATGATTAGTCTTTCTATTATCCAAGGGTACACACGACTGGAAACTTGGTCGAAATTGATTGGTCAAAAATATTAATATATAAATAATTAATTCGACATTCCTTTCTACATATCTATAGCAATGCAATTCAACTTCATACCTCTGAAGAAGGTCGATGTATATATGCAATGGGTGTTATTAATATTTTAATAATATTTATATTTCGTGATGAGTGCGACACATCGAATTCTATCAAGATATAGACCAGTAGAGAGACTTACTGTAAACAGACGTTTGCTAATTGTCAGAGCTATGCCCGGAGTGTAACTTTGTGCCATGTGCATTTCGTCGTCTGAGTTATTTTCAATGTAGCACGATTACTCTTCCAGGTTAGGTATCATCGCATAGCATTCTTTAATCAACTCAGTGTGAGTAAAATATTCTAAATCTATTTTTGTTAATTATTAATTACTACACTCTCTAAATGTGTGAGGAGTTTTTGTCTTAAACTTTGTAATTATCAACAAGTTTGAGTAAACAGAACTGTTAACAGTCATGCATGAACAGTTCAAGTACATAGTATGCAGAGTACATACGTGTTTAGGCCGTACCGTTCGTGTGGGATTTATTGTTCGGTGTTTAACAGGGTTGTTCGTCCGTTACATACACCTGTTATCAATACCGGTGATAGAAACACAAATCAGGAGAGTTAATCAACATAACAATATCATGTAAGTATGTACGCAGTAAATATTTTCTCTGTAATTTAACTTGTTTATTTCAATATTTATTCAATTTGCCGTTTTAGATTAAGAATCTTGGTTTATTTCCCTGCAAAATAACCAGTTTTATTCACTGTAACTCTAACAGTGGATAAGGCAACATTGTCCAGTTCGGAGTTCTTTACAGCAAGAAGTTTTCTCGTTGCTAATTACTTTCCTTTTATAAAAGTGTAGATTTACAGTTTGGTTTTAACAAAAATAGGGCATAAACAAAAACAAAGGTTTGGCAAGCCCTTATTCCACTATTCTAGTAGTATTTAAATGAACATCAGGAAACCCATCACAAAAACAGACAAACAGCAGACAAACAGCAGACAAACTTCTGTGAACCGATGAACAGCACCAAAATGTCAGTATTCTGAAACATTAGACATGACAACACAGCCAACCTTGTTTAGTTAATTTATCGAAAAATGAAGTTGTTCATTCAATCTATTTTTTTTCTTTTCTTAAAAACAATTGTCATTGACTTGGCTGACATAATCTTTATAATAGCGGTATTAGAATGAAAACAATTTTCAACCTATTTCCAATAAATACTACTTTATGTATTAGTAATCATGGATACCAGGTGCTCAACCTAGTAATACAAACTGAATTCTAGTCCATAAACATCAGCAGGTAGCCTATGAAATATGTATTGTTTTGCATGCATCAACTTTACCGATTATACAATTGCCACAGTGTAATGAATTGTGAATTGCAAGTAAAACTAGCGAGTAACCTCCCTTTATACATCACACAGATAGATAGGTTAATTGCGTTTTTCAGTAGTTTTAAGCAAGGATGAATGACAATTAAGTTTAATAAAGCATTTAATCGATATAGAACAAAAACAAATAACAGTTCCTTTTATGTATAAAGGTAACAGAGTACAGTAGAAATGGCCTGATCCTGAAATTAAAGGACATGTTCTTGATACACATTGATAGTGAATTGCACTTGCAACACACCAACACATATGCATATATAAATATAAAATTATATTGATAGATTACTTCATCGGTACACGTTTTAAATGAATTCTTTTTAAGAAGTGTTTCCGAATTTGGACTTAAAAACCATGGATACCACATCAAACAAGAGCCCCAGAGGGCCTGTTTCGCTCACCTGGATAATAAAGCAACGATGGAAAAATGTTCTTATCATATAAAATACTGAAACTATTTCCGAGTATTAGGTCTGTCTTTCAGCAACGTCCGTCCCTTCTTGGGTACCTGCGTTCTGTCCCCATGAATTGGGATGGATTTTAAACATTTACCATTTTGGGCCCCGCCACTTTACCCCAAAAGCAACCCTCCATTAACATAAAATACAGTCCCCTTTGCCCAAAGATGCTCAACACAATTTTGGTAAAGATCCATCTAATGATATTCAGAGGAAGGATTTCAAAGATTTCATTTCAATTTCGCCATTGGGCCTCGCCCCTCTGCCCCGAGAGAAGCCACACCCTCCTTTTTTCTTTTTCTTTTTACAAAATTGAGTCACATTTGCCCAAGGATGCCCTTCTGATTATAAATGCCTCCAACCGTATTAAAGGAGAAGGATTTTAAACATGTATTACTATGTTCCCTCTATTTGGCCCCGCCTCTTTGCCCAACGCGGCAGGGCATACTTTCTGTTTATACAAAGTAGAGACCCCTTTGCCAAAGAATGGCCTTAACAAAATTTGGTTAAAATCCTTCCAATCGTACTTAAGGAGAAGGATTTTCAAATCATACTACTATAGTCCGCCTATCGGGTCCCAATCATCTGCTCCAGATAAACAGTCTGTTAATATTATCTTTTATCCCTTTTGTCCAAGGATGCTCCGGACCAAATTGTGTTAAAATACCTCAAATAATACAGAGGAAGAAGGATTTTAAAGATTCACCTCAGTGTCATAGCCAGAATCAAGTCTGAAAATATAGAACATATGTCTATTTGCTCTAGTAAAAGACATTCTCAATTTTCTAACATCCAACTTCTGATCCTTTAGACGGAATGTTCATGCTATCAATAATCCTATCTGATCGTGAACGCTATCATTCAGTTCTATTTCAATTCAGGATGAATTTGATATCGATATCTTTACTTATAATAAAGCATGCCACTCACGGTGATACTTTTTGTATTTCAAAATAGGACATCTTGTGGAGTTGTTCATAATTCAATGGCAACTACGGTAACTACGCTACAGAAATAGAAAGAAACAACATTTTTTAAGGGGAAATATGCATCAGCCAATAACGGAACATGTACTCGATTCTTTAGGAGATGATGGGCTCTATCATGATGAGGGTAAGTCAAGTATTATCACACTTTGTATTTTTGGTATAGTGTATATCAGCACATAAATCTTACATTTGTCCAAAAATGATAACTTCGTATCAAAACGAAAGGTAAATAAAACCACCTGAGAATCTCAAGATCTAACTGCCATTCGTTTGGCTCAAAAGGATGTTGTTGTATGTCGTTGGCATATCATAAAGGGAGAGAAAAATGAAACGCAACGGCATAGGCAAAAAACAGTGATAAGGATCATCGAGGCGCCAAACCAGAATGAAACAAAGCATGAATCCACAAAAACTAGAAACGAAAATAGGTGAACAGTAAGGGTAAACGTTTTTTGTACCGCATGTGTCATCCCATCCTCGATAGCCAGGTGTTACGCTGACTTTCGCTCTCTGCACTCCTGGAATATGTCATAGCAAAATTGAAGGCACGAAGATAACTGTTTGATTGGTCTCTTGTACAAAAACCTGACCAATTGCTAGGCTGATACCTGTCCTTTGAAGATTACAAAGGAGAGACACCCGACTTCAAAGCCTGCCAGTTTTTACTGTTACGTGACCGCGAGATTCTTTTGATGTACATCAAAGGATCGAACTAGTCTTTTTGTCTCATCAACAAGGTGGCGTACACTGAGCCTTTGGTTTTGCTATGACATATTCCTGCGGTGTAGAGAGCGAACGTGAGCGTTACCCCTGGATATCGAGGATGGTGTCACCCAGCATGATGTCTCTTGTCAAGTCAAAGAAAATAGGTTAGTCATTAACAATCTTATACACCATTCATGGTAGACACTTGAAAGAATGTCGTCACTTTTACGATGAAGTGTGGTGTAAATTTCGGTCAATCATATCACCAATATATTATTTATTTATTAACTATTCCTTTGTTATTAATTGATATATTAATATTACACATCCGCCAGAACGAAAACTAAAATGTTCATAATGTCATCATTCATGTCAAAGTGATGTAGTTATAATGCCTATTATAATTGTTGTAATAACATGTTTTCATTATCAAGCAATTTCACCAATCATTCGTATTTCCTTTACAGGTATCACAGATGGCCAAAATATAACGGTAAGTCAATAGCACAGATAGACAATTATCTACACCTAAATATAGAAATGCTGCCAAAATGTAATGCTAATGACTTTGCCTTGTCACATTCTATTTCGTATGTGGTCTGACGTTTAATAGATTAAAGTTAATTAAAGAGTACACAATATGATACAATGTACCTTGATATAAAAAAATCAAGTTGTATTTTGTGTTGGAAACGCGATTTTTATATCATTATTCAATCAGCATTCAATACTAGGATATGGTACTAAAGTGAATAATTGATTTTGATTTCAGGGTGTTGCGAATGGTTGAGCGAGATACATCATAGATAATATAACCATACAAATCATCACATCAATACTCACACATATACCAGCGGGTTTAGTAAAGGTTGTGAAAACGTGAAAACTGCATTGAGAGGGTTGAGGTGACGAAAATATACAATAGCATGCAAACGTGAATTAATTCATAACGTTTTATCCTCAATATGTTTTTCACTTAAACAGCGTATTCAATGTTGCGTTCTGCATTAAGTTAAAACTAAGCGTTTAAACGTTTTACTCATATCATATATAATTGCTTGCCGGTATTACCTGATTAAGGGTTTATGGCAAACAAAGTTATTTTTTTGCAAACAATTATTAATCTAACATTTATTGAAGGACCCTGCATTATCAAGTTGATTACTGACAACGTTGGTTTCTATATTGCAGAATAATGGACCTTTATGTTTGGATCAGATTATGAATAGCTTTGATGACGAAAGCATCGGGAAAGAAAATCTGAAACGTAGGTAGAAAGATGTTTTCAACATGGCTCTTAGCTACTAAATAGGGAAATAGGGGATATGTGATTATTTTATAAGAATACATCGTATATTTGATGTTATGATATTATTAAAAAAATCAAAACGATTGCTTTACGATCATATAACTATATTTATATTGTCAAATAACAAATCGAATCATATGATGTGCATATACAATTATCTTGATGATGTGGATAACTTTGAAAGACAAATGATCTAATAGCGTTATAAACTTAACTTGTGAAATAATTATAAGAATATGTAGCTAAAGTATTATCAAACTTTGTAAATAAAAAATCCCTGCAACAATTATGCATGTTATGCTGTTTAATCGCAAATCTTTTCTTATGAAAAGAATTTCTTGTATTTCTAAACAAACAACGCCTTTTATTTTAAACCTGGATTAATTTCCATAGTATCTACTGTATATTGTTCCTCGCCTTGCATCAGTGGCAATGGATCACACACAATAGAAAGACGTCGCGAAATTCGAGGAATATTAAGAGCAAATTACAGAATCTTGAGTTTCCTCTTAACTTTCTTAACTTTATTAACTTTCTTACCTTTCTTAACTTTATCAACTTTGCTCTACGCGCCACCTCATTTTGTCCAAAGGTAAATCTTTCAACTTTCAATAGTAGGTGGTCTTCGTCACTGAACTCTTAGACATTCTATTCCATCGTACTGCTATATATCTAAGATTGGTCTTTTCTTGTTATGCAGATGTGGTTCAGGAACTTCGACGTCATCTGATTAGATGTCTGGAAATACATGTAGCTTCAGATGATAACGTGTGGGGGACATTTCTTCTTATCATGTCAAAATTGGCGTCCATTCAACTGTCATTGTTGAAGAATGCCGAAGATATGACAGACATCATTAATTTCTTAAAGAGGGAAAAATTCAGGAAATGCCACTTTCGGGCTTATTCCTGTCTAATGAAAACTGTTAGACAAATTGATTTTCGTTATTCCAGAGGTGTTGGCCCGCTTTACAATAAAATTGTAAAGTTAGACAAGCAGTACAGAGAAAGTGTAAAGGTTCAAATTACATCCCAGGAGGAAAAGAATCAAATGACAGGGGACGGCGATGAAAGAATATCCTTCACTGCCAGTCCTGCTGGTATGTTGGCTGTATTTATGTAGAAGTAAAAGAGAAAATCAGTATTATTGAAGATAATTAATTATTTAGGTGTTTCAGATAATGATGTTTAGCTAAGTACATCAGGAATAAACGTAGTTAAATTGTCAACGTTTTTTCCAATCAAATCTAAAAGTATTTAACGTATTTGCTTTAGCGCATTATGTCATATGCTTATAACTTGTTGAAGAAATAACAACATTTGTGCCTGTATTGTGGTAGAATATGTAAAGAGGATAAGAAAATGTTGCATTAAAATAATTAAAGAAGACCAATGCTGCAAAGGTTTACTATCTTTTCAACATTTCAGACTCCCGAGTTATATATTCTCCCAAATTAGCAAGCATTTATTAATTTATTCAACACGTAAAATATGATTACATGAAAGTGCCTATAACATACCTTGGCCTATTTTGCCTGATAAGTGTAAATGTTTTTGAAACGATTTAGATATGTAAATTCACCTGCATACCTTCATTCGACAAAAATAATCGTTTACATTTGTAAGACGGGACGGCTATTGGAAGAGCGTTCCATTTGCATGTTTGGACGGGAAATAATAATCCACGCGCAGGTATTATTGACCATCTTAACATATGTAGTTATCAAAATAATATGGTAATTTCAAAATGAATAAATGTGTATCGCGCGGCATTCCTGACCCTTACTTGGCTTCGGCATCAGATCTGTATTTCATTTCAATGTATTACTTTTCGGATATCTTCAGATCCTAATAGTTTTGCAATAACAAACGTAACATGTTATCTGTAAATTTCAAGCTTACCGTCATAGTTGTTTTTACAAGCAACCTAAACATCTGTCATTTCTTTAAAATAGCGTTATCATTAATCTGATTTTTCTTCAGTTACTGACATAGAAGATGCCATTAGCTCAGGGGAGGACGACGACGATAACGACGTCTTCTGTCCTTACGCATCTGCTCATTTTCTTGGAATGATAGAGGCAAATGGACGCTACATCTACGGAAGCAAAATGTACGAGCGCGTTTCATTGGGATCTACAAACTGCGGCGGATTTAAAAGGTCCATTAACAAACGGATAAGAAGCATAACCATATAGAGCACGCGGTGTTTCCATGAGGTCAAAACGTTGCTTAGAGAAACAATGACATAGTTTGGGAGAAGATATAATTAGTATAGTATAGTAATTGTTCCTGCTAATTGTAATCTATATCATTCATTTTGAGTGCGCCAATTCACCAATGCACCAAACTGTTTAAGTTTTATAATGCGCTAAAATCTGTTTACATGTTATCATAGTTTGAAAGAAAGTAGGTGATCGCGTTTAACAAAAGCATAGTAAGATGGCAAAGTATGAACCACAATCTTGTTTTGGACAAAACATTAAAATGAAACTAATTTAATATTATACACGTTCTCTCATAGACAAATCAACCTATTTCTTCAAAATGTTGTAGGTGTGGACCCGATACCTATGATGAGAAAAGGTTGGAATGTTAAGTAAATTAATTTATGCGTAAATTTAGCATAATTTACAAAACAAAATGAAGGATATTATGATATTTAATGGTTTGGTCTGAATAAAAGCTGACTGTACCGTGATAACAGAACAGAAAATACATGTCTCTGTTAAACGCTGTGATGATACTAATATGTTATATTTTGTAATATTTATAAACAATGTCATAGCGTGTAAATATGGATTTCTTAAAAATACGTTAATTTATGCAAGTTGAAACTTTATTATGAATAATTATTAAAAAGTATATGTTTTCATATTAGAATGTAAAAAACTTTAAAATTCGAATATTGGTTTGTTTTAACAAAGCATTGTGTTATTTTGTTATTTAATGTTTGTTTTATATATTATAATTGTCCACGATATCAGAAGAAAAGAAAAACGAGGCGGTTACCTGCGTTGAAATACTATTATTACAATGTACTTGTTGTTATGTGACAAAGAATAAAAGTATATTTAACTAATTATGTCTTTTTTTGCCGTGGATTAGCTTACAAAGAAATATTTGGGAGTAATCACCATTTATATTTATATAGTCATTATTATTTAGATAATGAAATAATATAATTCAATACTTAAGTAAAATTTACCGCCAATCAGGCACCTATGGGGAAATGTTATTGTTTTAGGTCAGTAAAAATCAACATGTATGTTGTACAAATGTCTTTTGAAGGAAGGGGGGTCAAACCCATTTCGAGTGCGGATTCTGTCCCCCACCCCAGGCTGATGATTACCACCATCAAAATCAAAATCTAAGGAGAAGTCAAAATTATAAGTCACAACTATAATTGTTTCAGGTTTGCACTAAGTGATCCCCTATGAGCCCCACTCGGGGTTAGACCATCTGGAGTATGAATTGTGATTTTCGTCATCTAAGCATCATTTCACGAAATGTTAGTTAAAATCCACCTTAAAGTTTTATAGAAGAAGTCGTCTGAAGGTTTTGCACTCTATGACTTCTTATGGCCCAACTCCTAAGTCCCCTGTTGGTCATCCTCACCTTAATGACCTATTCTGATTCCGATCAAGGGCTTATATGATTACCAACAAGTTTCGACAAAATTTGACTGGCGATTTCTTAGAAGCCGAAAATGTTATTCCTTACGTACAACGCACGACGTACCTAAAACTTTATCATCTATATACTACTTTATACCACCTACCGGTAGCATGATAAATTCATTAGCATTGGTTGTCAGTATGAGAAGAGGTTGAGAACGACTTGAGAACAACTTGAGAAGAACTTGAGAACGTATGTTTCCATTCCTCAGCACTTGGAAACGTATTTTCTCAAAAAAGAACGTCTGCTCTCGCCAGATGACGTCCGAAACCGGATATAGTGTCCACACAAAAGTGATCCGCGTAAGAAAATAGTCCGTCATTAACATATCAATTCAAAGTTACGGAAAATTGTGTGAGAATAACATCATTTCAAGTGTAAATGTGCATATGGAAAACCCAATGACGATAGGATTGTTTTAAAAATATTCATTCTACGTAGTTGTGAGGTTCATTGTATTCCTTCGCGCAAACTTCTATTTGTTTATGTTTGTCACAGGCGTTCGTTGACTGTTGAGCTTAGAAGTAATTTGGAAAACATAGTGTTTAGTCGAGTTTTTTAAATGGAGAAATATATAAGGTAGTAGTATATACATGATTAATAGTTTATTATACAGTTTTTTCAGTGTTTGTCGTTCGAACAATCTTCTCATCGCTCGCACGTAGATAAAATCTGCGGTGGCCTCTCGATTTTATCCACGTGCTCGCGATGAAAAAATTGTTCTCACGACAAACCCTGAATATACAGTGTTATAATCTACAAGAGATCCCAGAGGGATCTTGGCGCCCACCATTGTACCATCTTCATAAGTTCTTTGTCAGTTCGATCTTTTCTCTTCTTTTCACTAATCTGTTTGATCGAGTCATGTTAATAGTAAATGCACCTTGATGTAACTTTTGATCAAAACTTAATACTGCTGTGTATAAAAAACAACCTTCAAAGTGAGTTTGTCATTTCACATATTTACTAGTACAGTACTTAATGTGAAAGAAATAGAATCGATCATTGCAATATGAGAATGATCTGTTTAGTTGTGGACTTCCTTTAGCCATTTTGTTTTGATCAGTCTCAAAATATAACATGCACAACGAGGGACCAAGGGGAACCTACATATCAAATTTGAGAAAGTTAGAAAAGGAATTAAGTTATTCTTCAGAAATAGTATTAACAAACGTTCAATTTCAAAATTCGAAGCATGTCTGCTATTTTGTTTATCTGATCATTCTCAAAAGTAAATATGCACAACTGAGGACCATATGGGGAACCTACATAAATAAGATTTGAGAAAGATCTCTCAGATCTACATATTGAGAAGCAGCGATAACAAACATTCACTTTCAAAATCAAAGATGGCCGCCTGTCGGCCATTTTATTTATCTGATCAGTCTCAAAAGTTAACCTGCACAACGAGGGACCAAGGAACCCCTACATATCAAATTTGAGAAAGATCCATCCAGTACTGCCTGAGAAATAGCGATAACAAACCTTCAATGTCAAAATCCAAGATGGCTGCCTGTTAGCCATTTTGTTCATTTGATCATTCTCAAAATTAAACATGCACAACTACAGACCTAGGGGAGCCTACATAACAAAGAGGTATGGCGGAAAACTGCCCGTATTTCCCTAAGTCGGCATTTATGAAAACGAGAGANAGAGGTATGGCGGAAAACTGCCCGTATTTCCCCAAGTCGGCATTTATGAAAACGAGAGAAAAAAATAAGGAGTAAAACATTTTGTGTAGCATAAATGCATACAAAAGATACAAAACCAATTGAATATGAATTTTTAAACTGCTGAGAAATTAGGTTTTGCTAAGATGATACTGCAAATATAGCCATATACACTATATCTATAAAAGTGATGGTGTTTCCCGGACTTTTCAACACTTTCCCATCTGAGGACCAACTTTTGAATAAACTTTTTGTGACCGTGATGTAATATGCAAAAACAAATCGTATTATTGAAAAGTGGTCCTCCTTTGGGATAGTGCTCAAAATAATGAAAAACAGGGGTGATCAGGTTTCTCTAAACAGCGACCGGCGTTTCTCGGGTTAAAACAGTTTGTAATTGCCAATATCAATATGTTCTATGTAGCCGAATGTGTAACGCAGTTTACTTGCGACTAGAAAATAAACGGTGCAGGTTCGAATCCTCCTTCAGTTTTTCTTTTAAATATTTAGGCATGTGATCATTTTCCTTAATATGGCAATTGTGGTTTTTTTAAATCGTTGGAATATTTTGTTTACATTTTAATAACATAGCTATTGATTTATCAGTTTTGTTAGTAATACTTTCTTTACTATTTAGTGCGACATACTTCTCTCGAAGCATGTCAACACATTCCTGTACACGTGTACAGTACAGCTACGCTTTGTAGGTAAGACACTATTTTTGATGAAATTTATGAAGTGTTTTACCCTCCAACTGGCAATAGTAATTATATCAAGTGCTTAAACACCAACAAATAATGCCGAAATAACAAATATGTGGTTTGTTTACAATAATCTATTCTTAGACACGGGATTCCGATATTGCTACCTGTATAAAAAAAATACCCGAGGACGCGTCATAATAGTGCACGGTTGGATGCGCGCACTAGCGTAACATAGCTTTGGGGAAATAGGCATAGCAACCCGCCATATCTCTTTGGGAAAGATCCCTCCAGTACCTCCTGAGAAATAGTGATAACAAACCTTTAATGTCACAATCCAAAATGGTGGCTTATCGGCCATTTTGTTTATCTGATCACTCCCAAAACCAAACATGTACAACTACGGACCAAGGGGACCTACATATATATGATTTGAAATGGATCTCTCCAGTTCTTCCTGAGAAATAGCCATAACAAACCTTCACTGTTAAAATCCAAGATGGCTGCCTGTCGGCCATGTTGTTTTTCCGATCAGTCTTAAAAATTGTCCTGCACAAATAAGGGCCATGGGGAACCTACATATAAAATTTGAAAAAGATCCCTCTGGTACTTCCTGAGAAATAGCGATAACAAGAATTGTTTAAGGACGGACCACGGACCACGGACTACAGACCACGGACGCAGGGCGATTTGAATAGCCTACCATCAGATCAGAGCTAAATACCATCAGAGTTAACCGGCGTTACTGTACCCTGGAAGGGACACTTCCGGTATTTTGGCAAATATTAGGGGATAAACGATCAATATCGGCAGAAAATATGCATAGTTGAAATAAGTAAGAGTCAACGAGGGTTCTGATTAAATTGCTTCTCCAAACTCTCATTAGTTCTGATAAAACAAACAACTTCGCACGGTACGTAGGCTAACGGGCGAACAGTTTATAGGTTTATTTAAGGCACATGCAATACGTATATCTATACATGTTTGTGATTCACAATGATGAAGTCTTACATATGTTATATATATAGAATTGACAATATACATCTGATTCAAACAAAAATCAAAACTAGACCATAGACTTATTTCTTATGGCATCAATACTGGTGAACGTTTGTTTAAAGTAAATAAATAATACATATACACAGGAAGTATGCAACACAAACCTGTCACCGTAAACTACAATGCGCAATGCCCGAAGCATAATTACAGAAATGTACATCATAACTTACTATGTGTAGTATGTTTAAACATGAACATCTTCTTGCATATAGAGAACATTTAATGTGTTATAACTACCTTTTATACTTGAAAACCAAAGGAAGTATTGATCACCATCCTCTGTATTTGTCAAGCATTTATTAATTCGAATAATTGTTTGAATCTTTTCATCGCATTAAAAGATTAATTGTAACCCGTCTATATAGCAGCGTTGGTATTGACTACAGATACAAAACATATCATTCCCCTCACACGCTTTGTACATTGTAGTTTCCCCGATCATATTTCTCTTATTCGGAACCTCCGAGTCTCTAGAAAAGTAACCAAGAGGTGTACCACACCTGAGATCCGAATGACTGAAGAAAACGACAACAGCATTCTGATACTACTTTAACGGCCCTCTTGACGCAAGCTTAATCACGGGAAAACAATTTAAAGAGTTGTGTTTACCTAGGCTACCACAAGGACATACATATATATCATTTTGACCACCGCAGTACTGGCTAGTGGTGGAGATCCTACTGATCCGGACCCTACCTTCCACCCCAACACCATCAGAAAAACTCCCACCGTTGTATATTAAGTAAATTTACCCCAAAGTCACGAAAATAGTTATAAC